ATTGAAACGAAGCAAAACGTATTCTTTATTTTTTGATAGTTCGCTGCGAATATGATTTGTAATTGGCAACGTCTTTGTTTTCTTCTTCTTCTTCTCACTTTCGGATGGACATGCTCTCTGAAGCAATCCGAATATATTTCATATTTGAAGCTATTAGACGATCCCTATGAAACAGTGTTTCCTTCGTCTACAGCTACTAAAGCAGCTCTAAATTATCCGATAAACAAACGTGCATTTTCATTACAAATGACTCAAACTAACAAGTTTGGCTTACCAAAGTGTTCAAAACAACATGATGAGTGTCGACAAATTGGTATTGTTGGTGCTGGTGAGTCTTTTTTCTCATTGATAAGTGATATACAATAATTGTTCAAAATTTTCCGCACATGCAGTTCACGATTTTGTTTATATAATATATCAGCAAGCGCATGAAATACTGTATCCTTAGAAAAACCAAGGTTTTCTCCTCTAGCGTTTAGGATGTTTTCGCACGCAGTCAGAATATCATAATAAAAATATTGAGCGGTGCTCTAATTATTCATTTCAAATCTCGGGGAAAATAGCACTATTTAATGTAGAAGATATTATGTTTAAGAATTCTTCAAGCTTCCATAATTATTAGAGTCTTAATATAATGGGTTTTGATGTCGAGTAGTTGCGAGTACAAAACAGGAGAAAAATAAGGCACAAGGCAAAACTATTTTGCTCTAGCAAGGTTTCTGCTTTAAATGACTATTAAAAGAATTAGCTTCTCGCACAATGAACACCGTCGGCTATTCATTCCATTGTGATCGAACGAAAATGTAGAGTTTCGAAAGTGGTTACTGTAGTGATGATTGCTTTCGAGAAAATATTCGGTTAAATACATTACCGAATCCCTAAAATAAAATTTCGCATCTGACTTTTTTTCTATTAGAGCGTGTATTATGTGACAACACCCGACAACTTTGTCAATATAGCTTTTGATGAAGTCAAAATGTAAAACTTACGTAAGAATGTGGCATTATTAGGACCATGAAAATCCAAATGAACTCGCTCAATTTATCATTAGTTTAAAACAAATTTTGTTTACATTTCTGAAATTCTGTTAAATGACGATAATCGAATCCATTTGGTTTCGTTGCCAAACACAAATTAGATTTCTAACTTCGAAATATAGAAAAATAACAAATTGTCTATTTTTGATGAATAGAAGAGATCTGGACAATATTTTTGGACTCTTTTAGGACACTATTTTCGATCTATTGGATTTTTTAAAGATTTAAATCAGATCTTGAAGCATCTACGAAATAGTTAAAAATAAATGAAGCTAATAGCTGAATCTTTCTGATAAAGGTTAAATTATGTTTGTAGGCGTTGCTGGTTTGTATTCTGGCATACTGTTAGCGAAAGCTGGTCATACAGTAACCATTTATGAAGCAAGTAATCGAGCAGGTGGTCGCATTTTGACCTATCGCGATCAAAAAAATCCATCGATATACATGGGTGAATTTGGAGCCATGCGTTTTTCACTCGATGTTCACTCTTATTTGAATACTTTGATTCGACATCGATACAACTTAAAGACTGCAGAATTTGCTCAAAGCAATGCTAATGCTTATACATACATCAATGGGATTTTTACTACAATGCGAGAAGCTCGTGAAAACCCAGACATATTCGGATTCAACACACATCAAAGCGAACGAGGAAAGGTATGATTTTATGTTTGTATGAAAACTGTTATGACAAGTGTATTATAGACTCCTGAACAATTATGGCTGAATGCTCTTCAACCTATTTTGCAAACACTGGAACAAGGAGGATGGTTAGCGGTTAAAAAGCAATGGGATTCATATTCGATTGCATCCTATTTGAAAAGTGTCAATATGTCACGTGCTGCCATCGACTATATTAGCATTTTTAAAAATTATGAAAACTTCATTTATGTATCTATTTTGGAAGCCGTTCGTTCGACACTTGTGTCCGGTTCTGGATCGAAATCGTATGTTATTGAAGGTGGTAATGATTTATTGACACAAGCAATGATTGATGAATGTCGAGCAATAGAGTTCAATCGATGTTCGATTATGTATTCGACACCCATCACTGAAATACAATTATATGGTTCGAATCAAGTACGATGGATGACCAAAAATGGCACAAATAACATTTTCGATACAGTAATTGTAGCAACAACTGCAACTGCTGCTGAATTAATCAAATTCGAAAAACGAATAAATTTTGTCGACAAATATCGAGCATTGCGGCAAGTCCATTACAGTTGTTCAACGAAAATTCTTCTTTTCTTCAATATATCCTGGTGGTACACACAAGAGAAGCTTAATGGAGGTCAATCAGTTACTGATTTAAATATTCGTAGAGTATTTTATCTACGTAATAATCACAGTAATGGTGGAACAATTCTTGCATCATACACTGCTGGGCTAAATTCTCTTCAATGGCAATCTTTATCTGAATCAGATGCTATCGAATTAACTTTGCAACAATTGATTCAACTTCATAAATCATCATCGAACATACGCGACTATTTTCAAGGTGGTAAAGTTCAACATTGGTGCGGAGATCCATATGCACATGGAGCTTTTGCGAGATTCATTCCATTTCAAGAAACAGATCTTCTTGATCAATTGCAAGCATCCGTATCGAATATTCATTTTATTGGTGAGCATACTACATCTATTCGTGGCTCAGTTGAAGGTGCTATTGTCTCAGCACTACGTGAAGCCTTGTTTATTACAGCACAACGAATGACAATATTTGATGTGATTATCGTTGGTGGAGATCCAGTCGGATTGGTAACAGCTGTGTTTTTATCAATGAAAAAACCTAATCTTCGTATTGCCATTGTTGATAAAGGAGTTATTATGAACTCGTATAATGCATTCGATCGACAAATATTTCGACAAATGTTCAACGAAGAATATCTCACTGAATTAGCCAATATGTCATTTTCTCTTTGGCGTCAATTGGAACGATTGGCTAATCTTTCATTTGGATCGATTCTCAATACGAACGATGGATTTCTGCTATTCGGCAATTTAAATACAAATCAATCAACAGTCGCAGATAATTTGATATCCATCAAACGAACATATGAAAATCTTCAAATACAAGGCGAATATTTGAACAATACACAATTAAAAATGCGCTATCCAATGTTTACATTTTCTCATCAATATGTAGGTATCTTCGACAATCAATCGGGTTACATCAATGTAACGATGCTTATGATTGCTCTACTTCGTATTATCGATCAAAATCCGAATATTATCATTCGAGAACAAGAAGAATTCTTATCATTAAAATTATTCAATAATTGCACACAGTTAATAACTGATCGTGGTATTCTGCATGCTTCTCGAAAAGTTCTCTTTATTCCTGGTTCATCTGTTGAAAATATCTCACATTTACTAAATGTTGATCTCAATGTAACATTATGGAAAGTTCCAATTTACTATTTTCGTCATTCTTCATCTTTTACTCAATTACCGAATTGGCTTGCATTGGACGAACATAATTCTCAAGTACTCCTTTCAGGCTTTTCTATCGATTTAGCATCTAATTACCTTGTTATCAAACCCAGTTTTATTCAAAATAGGTCGAACTCGTTGATATATTCATCTCAACAGACAACTACAATCGATCCATTCCTTACAAAACAAGTTGTGGACTGGGTCTCACATCATCTAGGAACATGGGTCAATGTATCCGATTATTATTTGAATAATCAAACCTATTTCGAGACACTTCCACTGGGTAATAGATTTTTACTTGATTTTGTTCCACGAACAGACAATCGAGTTTTGATACACGCTGCTGGATTAGAAATGAGCTTTACACCTGTTTGGGCTGATATGTTATCTGAAATGATCCTGTTCGATAGGAACATATCGTCAAAATATGCAAAACATCTTGATTATTTTTCAATAGCACGGTTGAATCGACTCGTCGAAGAAAATATATTGAATAAAGGATACCGATTGGCATCATCATCTTTATTATTCTTGTGGCATTTGTTATGGATTTTGAACAATTATTGATTATCTTAATTTTCATTTCAAACCTTGCATTCGAACAAAACTTTGTAAACGAACTCTGTCAATGTTATTGTCCCTAGATTAAAACCATAGTCTTTAGAACCAGTAATAAATTTACAAGTGGGTTTGGATGCAATGGAGCTTTCCACCAGCTCTCACATCTACATTCAAGCCCATGTACTCCATCAAAAAGAATGGAAAACATAGTTTTTTTTGTAGATTTAGTATTTCGAGAAAAGACTATTACTTTTGGCTAAAATTTTCGGGAGATCCTAGTGACTTCACGGAGAGCGTAGAGTGCCGGCGTTGCTGTGGGTATGAGTAAGAGAAGATCTACACCGTCGCCCAGACTCCATATCCACCGACATACCTACGCCTACCCTTAGATTGTTGGCGTATACTGACTCAGTATTCTAGCAACGGCGTTATCATTCACCTAAACAAACTACAAACGAACATGGTTATTTTTAGTGATTTGTTAGACAAAAGATGGTAACTATAAATAACTCTAACTGTTCATTGATGAAAAAATCACTCACACAACGTTTAATCACACAAACTCATTTTAACACACAAAATCATAGAGCGCTGTTATTTTCTTAAACGAAACTTATATCTCACCAAGTTAGAATCGCGTACATCTCTGATAATCAGTCTATTCTTTATTGACAGAAACTAATTACGTTATTTACATTAACTCATAAATGGTGCGAAATATTTGACGTCATCATACAATGATTAGAAATCTAAGAGAATCATTGGTTGTAGTAATGATAAAGCTAAATGTTTGTAACGTACGTCATTATCACCTACATTTATTCTCCAATGACGTTAAATGAATAATAATATCATGTCTCCTTGACTCTTCTCTTTAAAGAATACTTGTGAGAACGAGAAAAAAAATGGTATGTATGTATATTGGTATTTCAGAGTGTAACTAAAAACTATAGTAAATTAAATATGGGCAATGGTAACAGTAGTGCGATTACAATTAATCTTGATCGAAATAATTCGCTTTATTTTTCTGATGAAACTGTATCTGGAACAATTGATTTAAATATCAGACAAGGAAAACTAAAAGCAGATGAAATATACATAATCCTGATGGGTGAAATTGGTAATACAACAATGCCAGTTTTTTCACATAGTAACTCTGGATTCTTAGCACGATCATCAGTAAAACCTAAATATCATCATATTCCATTTTATTCTGCTAAAGTTATTATTGTTCCACCTGTTAGACAAAAAAAATTAATTTTTGGTCAAGGACAATATTCATGGCCATTTGATATTCCATTAACTGATTATCTTCCACCAACTTTCGATGAACCACAATCATTTCCTCATGTTCGATATTATTTACAAGTTGTTATAGATAAACCATGATATGAAACAATTACAAAAGTTACAAAATATTTAACAATATATCCACGTGTTAATTTATTACAATATCCTCAATATTTATTACCAACCACATTCGAAAAACAAAATATAACATTTCGAACTATAATGAGAATCCAATATCAAAAAGATATAACATTTAAAGCGACTTTTAATAAATTAGGATATGTTCCTGGTGAAATAATTCAATTTATATTAGAAATGGAAAATCCACGAAGAGTTTTAATTAAACGTATTGATCTTTCAATGGTACAAACATGTGAAATTGGAAGAGCTGCGTATAGTTTACCTATATCTCGGACGATATTACCAAAGATTCGAAATTTAACAGATCAACAAATAAGACAAAAATTTTCTATAAAAATCCCTTTAGTACCAATTTCTCCATCATATCAATTTCGAGGAGAAATTCGAAAAATTGCTGTAATTAATATTTGTTATATGTTTCAATTTACAGTTAAAGTTGAAGAAAGGTGTATTTGTTATGATGTTCATATTCCGATTATATTAGGAACAGACCCAAATCCTGATTTAAGTCAACAACCAACATCTAATTCCATAAGTATTTCTTACTCTTCAGATCACCACCTAGTTATGACTCTGTTGTGCAAAATATTAGATAAAGTTTGTTTTTATCTATATAAAGATTCATCAATTACATGTCTATTCATTTTATCAGAATTCTATCTCACTGTTAAAGATATAAAAGAGAACTAAATTAAAAATTTTATTTTAACTATATATCATTTCTTTATTTGTCGTTTGATCTCACCAACAAAAGTGCCCAAAAAGTCATGTCTACTACTGATGTAATGACATGTCCCGTGTAACTAAAAATACAGGGTGGTGTGGGTATAAGTGACCAGATAACTGACATCCAAATCCAAACCCGCACCCAAAATAGGGTCATCAAAGATGAGCACACATTTAAAGAACGACATCCATTATCAAGATTTTTTATAATTGCAAATGGTATGGTCCATAGATGGACCAAATCTCGTAATCAGAATCCAACAGATTCAATCACATATGCAACAGAACCAACAATTACATTACAAAAATGAACTAATGCATATCATTTTGCAAAATCATTAAAATCAGTATTACAAATATCATCGAGCAGAAAAGGCTTCACTAATTACTATATATCAGCTGGTGAAGCACACAATGTAACAACAAGTGAAATCCATAAATACAAAAGGAAAAAATGGACGTCGTTTGATCAATTTAAAGATCTTCAATTAAGAATATGGAGAGTAACTTTATCAGACAATGCAACGGAATAGAAAAGCGGACTTTCCCATTGTCTAGGCTTCTACAAAGAATACATTTGCAAACATATTATTGGCATGGCTATTAGATTGAAGTTTTGTGAACCACCTTCATCAGCAAAGGATATACCTTTAAGTGAAAAAAGAAAACAAGGACGACCACAAAAAGCAACCAAAGCTCTATTAATACAATAACTGTACAATTAACTTTTTTACTTAGATATTCATATCAGTTTACTTAACAAAAATTGTATATTTATCTAAAGATTTACAATATTTTACTTAGAAAATCAAACTTTTTTACTTAGAGTTTAAATAAAAAACTTAGCAAAAATACTTTTTTTACTTAGAATTTTTCTCAAAAAATTATTTAGCAAAAATTTAATTTTTTACTTAGCTTTTATTTAAAATTACTTAGCAGTTAAATAGTAGCCTTTGTTTTTATTCTTAGAAATTTTTGTTTTTGTTTTCTTCCATTTACTCAGATGGAATATGATCGTACTTGTTGTTAATGTTAAAACCTATTTTTTTTTGTTCTTTGCTTTTTCTCGAAGAGGAATATGCACTAGTCCATTTTGCATTAGAAAAGGAAATATATTTTTTCCTGAAGAAAAGAGATGGTAGAATAAAGTGCAGAAAATACTGATTAATTGTGTAGAAAATATTTTCTTCAAAATTAAAATAATGCCAACTTTCCTCTTTGAGAATCACTTGCACTCGAAGTAATTGATGCATTGATGATATTTGTCTGATATCGATCTCCAACCCTTAGAGTTAATTTGAATTCATTGTTAGTTGATTTGTAATTGATTGAGAGCAGATAAAAATCAATTGGAATTGGTTTTAATCGGTGTTTTAGGAATCAACTCTTGTATTGATTATAATCGATTATGACTAAATATAATCGATTCTTAGTCGATTATAATCATACACATTTAATCGATTATGGCTAATTATCATCGATTCTTAATCGTTTAAAAATGGATTAAAGGTGTATCATTATAATCGATTTTAACCCTATTTTTCCTCTATTTTGTACATGGATTGGCTCTGACATTTTTTTCCATTACTTATACATTATACATTACGTACGCAAAAGCTGTTGTTTGCACGTTGGAAGAAACCAACTAAGACTCTTCAATTTTTTTTTTTTTTTTTTTTTTTTAATTAGTGCTTTATTTTTATTCAATTTGTATGAATACAGAAACTAGACCCTAAGTCCCGGTTTCTAATCGCTTTCGCGTTTTTTACAAGTAATTAGAGTAAATCAAGTTCGAGAAACAGTCGAGTCGATCAATAAACAGTTTGCATGAAGTAATCAATTAGTGTTGTGGCGCGAAGATCATTGGCTTTGATCATCGATGACACAGAATAGTGCTCAGGCAGAGTATCGAAACTCTAGAATCTGACTCAAGAGTCAGATGGCGATGCCACTCAGCCAGCCTAGGCAAGACTCTTCAATTGTTTTTCCTTAGTTATATAGAAATAATGACTGAAAGAATGACATATATTAAAGTACGATAAACAACTTCTTTCGTTTTTTGCCAAGAAAATAATGTTACAGCACGATGGAAGTGTATTTGATTTATTAGTGAATATTTCACCGACTTTAGATAAAATTGTATCGTCATCATCCAAACTGTTCAAAGAATTGGGAACAGCAACTAATGTTGCACGTATTGCAAGAGCATGAGAATGTGTTATGAAAACTAAAAGTATGATCATGTCCAGTGTTCCCGTTGAAGAAATAGGAAAAGGTACTCAATCAGAAAATTGGGTTGATGACTACATTGCAATAAACGCAACAATGATTGCCACAAATCCACATGCTGCGTGTAGTGAATTATCTGATTGCTTTGCAGCACAATACCGTTCGCTCTCAATACAAATGATTGGTAATTCTGTTGTATCATTCGCTCAATCACTAAAGCTGATAAATTTTCTATGAATTCTGTATTATCTATGTATTTTTGAAATAAATACTAGTGATGTCTATTTAATGAAGCTGTCAAAAAGATAAATCCAATTATCTGGTATATTAGAGTATATTTCTACAAAAATGTGCAACCATAATATTTACTCAAGATTAGCATAATTACGAAAATATTGTATCTCTCGAATGATCTTTTCTTTCAGATGATAAAATGTAATCTTCTTCTACAAACACAAATATTCCGATCAATTAACTATATACGTGTTTGTCATAGTTATTCTTGATTTACTACGAGGGCGATGGAAGTTTTTCGACCTTGAGTTAGTTTTCATTATTTTACGAGTCAATTCTTTTCTAATTTTATTCCATTTTGTTACATTGACTGTATATAATTTAAATGATGTTGTTTTCATACGGCTCAGAAGTTGAGTCATCATCGTCAGAAAAAATGTAAGCGCAATAAACATTACATTTCATAATTACACTACTTCAATGGTGTTGGTTTTGTCTCTTCCTTCTCGAAGTATAGCATATGATGGTGAATCATTATTTTTGCTTTTCTGAATCGAGTGAGCAATAATTCGTCGGCAGTTGGATGATATAAAAATAGTGTAGACAGCTAAAGTAAGCGCAACTTCATTTCTTTTCTTTTCCTCTTTCATCTGTAGACGATTAAAATTCTTTTTTCAATACAGATGTTTATTTCATGCTGTAGATAAGTTTTCATAAGAATCCTGAAATGACTTTTCTAAGGAACTGTTTTTATGTGCGAATCGAAGTACATGTTTGAAAAATATTTAAAATTGGTAGCAATAAACTTCGTTTTCCTACACTCAGTAAACAAATACAAAATCTGGAGTAAATATTGCATCAGGATTGACACATCAGAATAATAGAAAAGGATTTAATTGGTCTATACTAAGAGGTTTGGAAAAGTTTGAGTCGCACATGTCGCCATCTCTATCATTGGTACATAGTTTTTTAAGCAGTGCATATTACAAAAAAAAGTCATGATTAGTCAAACAGCGGTAATCACAGATCAACTTTCGTTCTTTCAACATCATACTTTTTGATAATTTGGCTTCGTAATATTGATAGATGGGATTGTGTTTCAATAAATAATAGTTTTGTAGCAGAAGACTTTCTAATATTCTTCGCCATCAGAAATTATGCTTGTTATTATAGAGCGTTTATGTCATGCAAATAAAATGAAAAGATCTAATTAGATCGAATCATGATCTTAAAAGTCATACAAATAAATATTTAAAGTGTCATATAGACGAAAAAAAGTAAGAGCTTGAAAATTTTATTGATTTAGAATCCCATAATAAGTAAAAGAAATTGAAATGATGAGAAGTGTCCTAGCATTTGACCGTGAATGTCATCAAATTTCATTCAAAAAGCATATATAATTGTATTTCAAGTTTGTACGAATTTCATTCGATATATTCAAAAGAATGAATAAGAAAAGTAAAAAGTTGCATGCATCGCTATAGCACGAGAAAAATGTGCAAAACAGAAGAATATGCGTATTTTTAAAATATCTATTCTTTTGCTCTGCACAGTTTTTATACGTGCAACTTTTTGCTTTTGTTATTCATTCGTCTGAGGACAGCGCGTGATACTTACCTAGTATCAAAATGGAATCATAATTGTTTTTTTTTGAACAAAATCTGCAAATGTATTTTGTTTATTGTTTTTAAATGTTTAATCCACTAATTTTTATGAGTAGACACGGTGGTGAAAAGTAATTTTACCGCATAGAATGATGCAGTCTTTAACTAAAAAACCGTTGATGAGAAATAGTCTGACGAAACCTCGAAGATCAGATCGCTTTTAGGTTTTATTTGACTTCTGCAGCTAATAGTAACCGATCAGATGTACGAATTTTCTAACTGCAATTAAAGACCGTATAAGAAAGTAAATGCATTAAAAAGAAAGAAGATTCTAATTATAAATTTTTCTTCTGCATCATTTATTTTCTAACAAACGTTTGAGAATATTTCAAAAGGGTAGCATAAATTGTCAGTTCGCTGAAGTCTCTTAATAATAGTCATGTCAAAAATATATGTCTCTCATTTTTTTTTATAGTTGATCATTGAATTTTTTCGTGATTGTCTAAAATCTCATATAGTATTCGATATGGCTTTACGCTTCAACGATGATAATAGTCGCTCATCATTTCCAATGTACTTTGGTCATCAAATGAAATTTGGCGATGCTGCTTCTACACCATTGCAATTGATTAAATTGCACGTCGAACAGCAAGTGAATGCAACATTTCCACTCATACATCAAGTGGCAACAACAATGACATTTAAAAATGATTATAATCATGTATTAGAAGGAGCTTTAGAATTTACACTACCTGAAAAAGCAACAATTTGTGGATTCGGTGAGTGAATTACTTAAAGACTATACGATATCGAAAGTAAATGAAGCATAGATAGATACGATTGAACTTCAATTTTTACAATCGACGATCAATAATAATTATCGTTTTCTATTATAGGTCTTGATGTTGATGGTGTCATCGTTGATGGTGTTGTTGTTGAAAAAGAAAAAGCTCGTATTACATTTGAAAAAGAAGTTCGAAAAGGTGTCGATCCTGGATTAGTGGAAAAAGTTCAAGGAAATATATTTCGTACAAGAGTTTATCCAATACAACCTGGAGGTATACGAATAGTACGTGTCATTTATCAAGACCAAGCACAATTTGAAAATGATCATTTTCTCTTCCATATTCCTATCTATTTTACTAATATTCTCGAAAATTTGGACATTTCATTGACTTGTGAACATTCAACAAATCATCGTCAACCCGAATTTCTTTCAAATGTTAAATTTAAACAGCCTTTCGTCAATTTAAATGGCAAATATTGTTCTGAACTTCATCTTGTCAATGTTGAACCATCACAAGATGAACAGTCTGTTACATACATGTTAAGAACTTTAGTAGCAGAACAAGTCATGTACGGTATAGAAATTGATCCTGATGATCATAGTCAAGCCTATTTTGCTCTATGTTATATGCCACCATTACCGCAAGACAATAAAATCATAGCTAATAATCAACAAGTAATGTCCGTTTGTATACTATGGGATGCTAGTTTAAGTCGAGCAAATGTTGAAAATCGTAATCATGAAATTAATATACTTAAGAATATATTAGATATTTGGCAGTCGAATGGTACCATTGTGAACATAACCGTAATTATATTTCGAAACGTACTTGAAGAACCTAGTACATTTCAACTACATGATAAAAATTATTGGTCAAAACTCAATCAATTATTAACTAATCTATCATATGATGGTGCAACGAATCTATTTCAACTAACTACAATTTCAACTAGTGTGCCAAATGTTACACACTACTTTTTATTTAGTGATTGTCTTTCGACAATAGGCGATGATGATCCAACACTATTGACTCAATTGACAACCAAACCAATATGGATATTCAATGCAAATCTTGCACAAGAACCAACAAATTTTTCATTGATTAACTACTTAACTAATGTTAGTGGTGGTAATTACATTTCGCGTGATAAAATTATGGCTCAAAATAGTGCAAAAAATATCGTTGAATGGATCGATAAACCACAGTCCAAATTTATTGATATAGATATTATGAATAATGCCAATGTTCATGATATTTATCCGAGTTATTCGATTATTTTAACACCTAATTCAGAAAGATTCATACTCGTCGGAAAAATGTCATCAACAGTTTCAGCTAAAATTTCTATTAATTTTTCTATCTTAAATCAAATACATCGTAAAGAACTGACAATCGATAAAGCAGATTGTACATCGGAAAATTATGGATTATTACGTCGCTTATATGCGAAACAAATGTTAACGGAATTAACTGCATTTCCAGAAAAAAATAAACAACGTATTTTAGAAATTGGTATGAAATATTCTATTGTGAATGATTTCACATCTATACTTGTCTTAGAAACATTACAACAACATATTGAACATAAAATATGTCCACATCCATCACGTCGAACATTATACAATGATTATGTGAAGTATCAACAAAATAAAACACAACAAGAAACGACAAAAAGTCAAGCCAAACTGACAGCTGTCTTAAATTTATGGCAAACACGTTGCACATGGTACGATAGAGCGATAACGGATAAAGATCGTACAAACGCATTCAAGAAAACCAGAACTTCTAGTACACATAATACGAGTGCACATCGTATGTCAATGTCACGAATTCGATCAAATTTTGCTAGAGTCATGGGATCTCAGCAAGCAATCCATCTGTCAAGAGAAGTATGCATGCAATCCACGACTTTACCATCACTGTGCTCGCGTCGAAGTCTTCAACCAACGCTATCATACCCATCAAAATCATTCTCCGCCCTGTCGAGCTATAATACAGAATCGAATATGGTTGATGAAAATGAAGAGGAATATTTCGACGATGATAGATCTATTAGTCCTAATCATGGAAATACTACTAGTAGTACTCGTTCAATTACACTTCAAAACTGGGATCCACAAACACCTTACATGGACAAAATTAAATCAACCACTAGTTCACAAACTGCTTATCAAATTTATTTAGATGAACGCCAATCATATTCAAAATCACCATCATTCTATTTTGATATAGCATCTTATTTTTTTGCAAAAGCTCGTTCTTCAACATCGAAATCATCATCCATTGATACATTTAATAAACATCATTCAGTTTCCATTTTTGGCATTAAAATATTTTCACGTGAAACTGATCTCAATAATGGTAGTGATTCCAATGTGAATAATTATGAATTTTTAGGTTTGCGTATTTTAACAAATGTATTAGAACTAGAATTAGAATCACCACAACTGTTAAGAACCGTTGCTTATAAACTTGTTGAACTTGGCTTTGTTAATTTAGCTGAGAATATTTTTCGACATATTGTAACTTTAAGATCGGACGAACCACAATCATTTCGAGATCTCGCATTATTATTACAAGAATCTTATATTCAAAATAAGAACATTATTGAAATATCAGATCTATTTAAGAAAGTTATATTTGGTGAGTGGGATAATCGTTTTGCTGAAATTGAAGTTACAACATTACATGAATTTAATTGCTTTCTATTCGAATATCATCAACAAAAACAAATGTCGAATTCAATTGATCATCGTGTCATTCGACATTTACCGGTTGACTTAAGAATAGTTATGGTTTGGGACACCAATGATACTGATGTTGATTTACATGTCATTGAACCGACGGGTGAAGAATGTTATTATGCCCATAAAAATACTGCTATTGGTGGTATGATAAGTCGGGATTTTACAAATGGCTATGGGCCAGAAGAATATCTGATTCGAAAGGCAGTCAAAGGTACATATACAGTTCGAGCAAAATATTTTGCTAATCATCAACAAAGTCTAACTGGTGCAACGACAATAATGGTACATATCTATAAATATTATGGTCAATCGAATCAGCAAAAAGAAATTGTAACACTACGATTGAATAGTAACCAAGAAATGATCGATGTCTGTAAAGTGGAGTTCGACGATGATCTCAAACATAAATCAAAAAATAAAGCACCTCATCCTAAAAAATCGAATACGACTATTCATTCAAATGTTATTTGTGATGGATGTGATATGTCACCAATAAAAGGAGATCGTTACAGATGTTTATTCTGTCCAGATATTGACTTTTGTGAATCATGCAAATCGGCTAGTAGAACAAATTATGAGTCGAATCATCAGTACAATCATCCATTACTATGCATTAAAGATTCAAGCGAATATTCAGAGTCATTTTATTTACTTAATCGTACTGATATCAATCATACAAATATTCAATGCAATTCATGTTTTATGAAACCGATAATAGGTATTCGTTATCAGTGTATTTGTGGAATAAATTTATGTGAACAATGTGAATTTACGGGTCTGCATGATCAAAATCATCATCGTACAAAAATAACTAATCCAGTATAATCGAATTCAACTTTTGACTTGACACATGTTCATCTAATTGCTTGATTTTATCTTTTTCGAAAAACTTTTAAATAAAACTTGTCACCCAAGCTTTTGATTTTTAGCGCCTCGTTCTCAAATAAAATTGAGCTATATGTGGAACAGTTTTCCGTAGTAAGATTGCACCAGTATAACTCAAATAAATATTGTTGTTACACTACAAAATATTCAAGTGAATTCAATCACTCACTAGTTTTTCATATATGACAGAAGATAAAAACACTGCATTATTTGACTAGTATAGAATTTTTTTCATAAATTATAAATCTCTTATTACTAATAGAAATCTATGAGATGAATAACATCCAGTGGCTATACTTACGATATAACCAACAGAAGTGATACTTTAAGGTTTAAAGGGGGGGAGGGAGTCGCGGTTCCTTGATTTTTTATTTAATAGGCTCATTTGATAGAGCATATTTTTTTTACATATATTCTCCAATTTTTACGCTTGTCTGATTTGTCTAGCTCGAGTTATAATCATATTAAGGTCCAATTTTTGATGAAAAATGTGTCCTTGGGTGCATCTAACTTTGAATTGACTTTACCCATAAAGTAGAAGCAAAAGACAACTTTTTATATATGAATAGATAGAGAATTCTTCCCACTACCTGACACGTTTTGAACGAGCTTAAACAAAAAAACTTTTCATGCTATTTTGTAGAGAATACTATAATGCAGACAACTTTTTATTATGCTTCAGTGGCTTTCAGCCGTATTTTCACCATTATGGGTATACTCAAAAATATTTTTTCTATGTTGTATTTGAGGGTGTGTGTGCGTGTGCATGTGCGTGTGCATGTGCGTGTTTTTTTAGCCCATGTGCACACCCACACACCCTCGAGAAATTCCTAAAAAAAACAATTTATATAAAAATGTATGTTTTACATGTTCAAGCTTGTATCTTCTCTACATCGGTTTGTTGAAAATCAAGGTGTAAATTCATAGATTTTAGACAGAACGAAAAAATTATATATACGATACATTCCAAGCACGAGGCATTTTCGTCACGGAGCCTGTGACACAATAATTCGCGACATATAACTGCGACGCATGTTTTTTTAGTGTGCATGGTCTGTGATGGACCTTAATCCTGTCTGACACGGTTTGTCATACACTCTTAAAAAATCGGTTTATTACCAAACCTGTATCCTGATGAAGGATCTTTAGAGTTTCGTAGCGACTTTTAGAATCTGGAAAATATCGAACTTTCAACGGCTGAAGTATTTTTGGTTTTGTAAATCGCTAGATAATGACAATGGTTGTGTTTCCGGATACGCGCTCAGTAATAGCCCGTTTTTTTAGACTGTGGTCTCTGAAGGTCGTCTGTCAGGGTTTCTTAGGGAGAAGACGGGTAGAAATATCTACCCTAAACACTTCAACACTGCTTTCAGATCATGTTTCACAATAATAATCAAGATTGAATACTGACTCTCATACTCCTATTTTATTTGAAGTCGATTGCATTTATCCACATGAAGCATGTGCATATCTTTATTTTCATTTAAAAAAAATGAACGCATTCACTTGATCCTTAACAGAGATACTTAATATTTTCCTGGTAAAATGACTTTTAGTTTAACATATAGGCACTATAAGGTTATCTCTAATCAGAAGCAAAACAAGTTCGAAGTGGTCCATTCAGATTGGTTTGTCTGTTTTCGTCTTCTGAATAGTTGTCTCATTCTTTTTCTGGCTTGAAATCCATTCCAATGACTTCTTTCCAAAGAATGTTTCAAAAAATTCTTTCTTGTAACTAGTCGACGGTAGAACATAGAGAACAAAGCCAAGTACTTGTGGCGCATACGAAAGTCGATAAGAACCAAGCAATGTATGAATCTGCCAATTATTCAATTGTGTACATGCTCAACTGAATGTAAGAATAACTTGAGGCAGAGCAGATAGAATGATGATTATAGGTGTGACATAGAGTTCTTTCTGAGCCTCAAACTGTTTCTTTAAGGGTACCCCCCCCCCCTTTCCGGGGTTTCTTGAGAATGGCTCATCAGAAAAATTTGAAATTTTCAGGGCAGATAGATCTTGATGAGTACAGCAAAAGTTGTCATAGACTCAAAATTTCCTGATGCTGTCTTCTATGAGATAATAGGGTCACAATGTCGAAAAATGGCCCTAGTTTTCGCCCCCGTTTCTTCAAGACGGTATGTTCGTAGTAGCGTAACCAGAGGGGGGCAAGGGGGGGGGGGGGCTGAGCCCCCCCCCTGAAAGGTGTTGGGCCCCCCCCCCCCCTGGAGAAATTCAGACGCCCTTTTGTTAGAAAAAGTGCATCTTGTGTTCTCGCTAATGGCAGATAAACAGAACG